GCCGCACTTAGCAAGCGAAATGCCACCCCAAATCCCTTTCACGGCATGTCTCAGTGTACCCTTGCGGAAAGGGCTCAGCAAGCCCAACTCATATCATTTTTCTCACTCCTTTGCTCTATCTAGGTAACAGTCATACTGTAAGAGGCTTATCTCGGTTATGGCTCCCGTGAGGACCTTCAAAATGCCCCGCTGGAGTTCCTATGGTACCATCACAAAATTACCACATAGCAGTCTGTGCCCACCTCTCCTGACAGCCCATGAGACCCTTCAAGGCAGAGACCAAAGTTCATGCATTCTTGGCTCCTTCATGAATGAATGGGTGGATAGATGAATAAATGAATCCCTGGAGAGCCAGCTCACCGGCCTACCAATAGCAACTGCAAACACCTAATCACCCCTAACTACTTCCCCATCTTCCGCCGCATCCCTTAGGCACAGTGTGTGCCCAGGTACTCAGGTACGCTCTCAGGTCTTTGAGTCTTGTCCTACCATACTGACCTTAGAAGGAGGACAGACACTTTCATGGAATTCCACATAAGGCTCCCCAGGGCTTTGCTTTTGTTTTTATTTCGCCTTCTTTTCACTCTTTCCATCTTGCTAAAGGTCCTTGTGTAGACAAACACCTCATGGATGTGATTATATGCACGGGATCAAGTCAGCCAAACTCTCAGCATGGAAGACAGCCGGCCTCGTGAAACCCCACCTCTAGCTGAAGAGCTACTGGCAATTGACGGCTCTGGGGGAGAGACAGTCACTGTCCTCTAGGGATGTGACCTCGTAGGGGCTACTGATGCTTCAGGATGTGGCATTACAGCCATGCACATACAGGCAGCACAAAGTGGACTCGGTGGATTATTGTTTGGTTCTTTAAGAGCCCCTGAAGCTGAGGGGGAAAAGTAGGGGTGAGTCTATGGGGAGAAACTGGGTGGGCAGGAATGGACTGAATTTAATAAAAGCACATTAAACGCATGTATAAAATTCTCAAATTAAAAGAAAATGGGGCTGTACTTAACACAACCCATTACTTTGTATACTAACTTAAAATTTAATTTAAAAAAGAATACAGCCATAATGTATGAGATGGGAATGTCAGTTTTATGTTTATACGAAGATATGAATCAAAAGAGGTTGAATAATATATCATTATCTGCATAGGGACCCAGGTTAACTCCAGGCTCATCACGTGACTCTGATCTAGTCTTATGACAAGGTGCTGCCTTCTTGCATAAGGTCACAGGGCACAACAATGCCAACACGGTTTCTTATGTTTCTAGAAGTACAACTGCTCTGTGTCTTGACACTGTCCAGAGAGCAAGGTGGTCATGGGTCCAAGGGGTGGGCCCTGGTCCCTTGATCACTTGCTACTGACACTGACTGAGACCCCAAGGACTGTTTGTGTGCTCCACTGCCTTCGAAGACTACGAGTGTGAGATAAAATATCTGCTGAATCCAACTTCAGAAGACACCAATGCAATGTGAGGCCTCCCAACTAACAGGATCTTTGATGCGATTCTGATTCCACAAATGTGTAGTGATGTCAGCCTTAGCAGAGGCTGGGGATGGGTCGGGAACCAAAAAAGGATCAGTCTTCCCTTCTGGGGCTAAGGCAGGAAGAAATCAAACCCAACACTCTAACTGTCCAAGTTCAGTGCACTCTGCCATGAGCGACTAAGGCATGGAAAGGTCAGGGGTTAAAACCAGTGGAGCTCTGCGGAAGAGTTAAATGCCAGGAGAAGAAAACATGGCAAAGACAACCACACGCAGGGCTGCCAGATAGAGGATTCCTGGAGAGACTGGGGCTGGACAGTCAGATTTGGATGTTCTAAAGAAGTTAGGAAACCCACTGGTGGGGTTCGGGAGAAGAACTGGTCATATTTCCATTCTGATCATGGCCTACAGAAGTCCACAGACAGCCTGAGTGTCAGTAGCCAGGGGTGATAGAAAACCCTGTAGTCAGGAAGAGGCTGGACTTCTGAATAGCGTGGGACACCCAGGTCTGATATCAGTGGACCAGGCTGGTGGCCAGTGGAAAGTTCTGACCCTATTAATGTTTCTAGGATTTGTATGAGGTGAGACGCAAGACCACTTCTGGTGCAGAACTGCTGAGAAGACTCCAGGCATCCTGAAACTCTAGTATTAAAATCAATAAACAAGGCCATGCTGGGCACAGCCTGCGCCTGGCCTGTGCTAGAGAGATTAGTAGGGCACAGGGACACAGCGGCCCAGATGTGAAGCCCTGCTCTGCCTGAAACATGGATCAAGCTGTGCAGCTTTGTCAAGCCTGAATCTCTCCTTGTCTGTGAGGGTAACCCTAGTCTACTGAGCAACCTCACAGCCCCACAATTAGAAGGAAGACACAGACACTACTGAAATGCTTGCCGTTATTCAATTAACGCTATCACGGTCCTAATGATGGAAAATTCCATCCTGAACTTTAAGGGTGCCCCATCTTTTCTACCTTCCATTACTGAACTGGATTTTGGTCCCCCAAATCTTAAGTTCGAGCCTGCATCCTGGCACCTGTGACCATGACCTTATTTGGTTCTAGGGTCTTTGCAGATATGCTCAAGTAGGGATGAAGTCATCCTAGGTTGGGGTGGGCTGCAGTCCAGAAGCTGGCATTCTAACTTAGCAGAGAACACATACAGCAGCAGAGCCAAAGAACCCTAAGACCATTAGCAACTAGCAGAAGCGTGGACCGGAGTCCGTAGGAGCCCTGTATAAGGAATAACACTACTGGTCCTGGGCCTAGTCCTTCCACCTCCAGGACTCCGTAAGAACAAAAGTCTGTGCTACTTTGCTGCCGTGGCCCTAGAAAACAAATGTCACAGCTGTATCCAAGGACCACCTGAGAGTCACTGGCATGGTTAGACAGAACATCTGACCTTGGGCTTAGAAAGTCATCACCAAGACTCCCCAGGGAATTCCCCTAAGAGCTACCATCGCTAACCCAGAAAGGAAATAAATGGGGGGGGGGGATCGAGCAAAGGAATCAAAATAATCTAAAACAATAACTTAGAGGGCTGGAGAGATGGCTCAGTGGTTAAGAGCTCTGCCTGTTCTTCCAAAGGTCCTGAGTTCAATTCCCAGCAACCACATGGTGGCTCACAACCATCTGTAATGAGATTTGGTGCCCTCTTCTGGCCTACAGGGATAAATGCAGGCAGAGCACTGTATACATAATACATACATACATACATACATACATACATACATACATACATATTTAAAAACAAGCAAAAAAAAAACCCAATAACTTAGTACATATAGGAGGGTGCTTTCGAGTCAAATGGACCTCTCCTGGGAAGTGAGTGCGGGCATCTGCTGAATCTGGTTCCTGATGGGTAGAAGGATACTGCCTACCACCTGACGGTACTGCGGTATTTCAACAAGATGTTGCCTGTAAGCACTTTCATATAATGATGGATGTATTACATACTATTCAAAAGCCCTGTGCATGTCAGCTACCGTTTTGGTACCACTGCTGGTGAGAAGTCTCATTTTTCTATCTCGTTTGTCACAGTCATAAAACGAACATAACAAATACTTGATAAGACCATCTGAGGATCTAAACACACTCTATAACTGGGGCTGCCCACGGTAACCGTTTTGAACCACTAGGGGGCAGCAGAGCCTCATTTTTCTCCCTCAGGCACGCGAGGCTAGATTCTCAATGACGAGGCCTAGGGGCAGGCTTCCTTAGGACTTGTTGCTAAAAACAGGCCTCTGTGCCCCACCCCTACACCCAAAGCAACCCACTAGGAGACAGCTGCTTCCTCCCTTGACTTCTCCTTGGGGAAAAAAAGCCTCTTGAAGAAACCACCACCTCTAAGAACTCACTGGGCATCTGACACGGAGTTAAATTTCACAGGGATACTTCTCAACTTTTATATGGTTTAGGCAAACCCCTGGCAAGCCAGGGCTCAGTACGTCAGTGCTACTAAACCATTTGGGGGGCCTCGGAGACAGGCCAAGGCACAAAACAAACCCTTCATAGCGAAGTGACGACACCTCGTTTATACAAATTAGTTACATAAGCCTGGGAGACACAATTCCTTCAAACTTTCACGCCATTGTGACTAGTTTTGCCCCGGTTTTACCATGACGAGTGGGTAAGCACCTGCCACTCCAGCCCGGATGAATTCCTAAATAACTTGCACATCATGAACAATCGCTATAGAAAGGCAGATAGACCTCCTTTCCGACCTCCCCCCCCCCATGCCACTCCACCCCTCAGCAAACTGGACCGTTTCTCCTTCTTATGCAATGGTTCAGATACACAATAAGTATGCAAAATATTAGAGTGACCAGCATAGTTTCTACCAGGTTAAAAAAAAATTCAATTACATTGGAGGCCCCCCGGAGTTCCCTAAAGAGGCACAGTCCTTCCCTTTCTCTTTAAGACATAAATTCTTCCAAATTTGGTCTTGGTCATCAAGACTCTATGTTCCATTGGAAAAGTCTGGGGAAGGAAGGAAGTATGCCTTCTTGGCTATCTGAATAAGGGCACAGGGACTGCATGTATCAGAAGACACAGAAAAGACCAACAGGAGACAGAAGGCATCTTGTAAACTTGTAAAATCCCAAGTCCTTTGTGCGTCCTCAATACAAGGGAACCATAGATGTTTGAGACGGTGCGAAGATGTGTGAAGATTACCTTGATTTGATCATTACATATTGTACATGTGTCAAAATACACTATGACCACAAATATATGCAATTATTATATTTCAATTATACATTCTATTTTTTTTTAAGAAAGAATGAAGGGGGGCTGGTTACAGCAACTTAGGCCAGCGTAAGGTGCTGAGAACATGGGATTGAGGGTCCACAGTCTGAGGATTTCACTGTGGAAAGGGGCCACACTGGGGGTGGGGTCAAAGCAGCAACATCATGCCCCTCCATGCACCTGTAGCCTGAGGTACACTATCCTCCCCTCCCCGCCTGAGCAAGGAATTCGGGGGCTCCCAGCACCAGGGCAGCGATTCGGGGTCACCTACCGACAACAATAAGGACCTCCCTTTCAATGTGAGCCTGGATGTAGATGCGGCCACGGCGTTCCGTGTGGTCGGTGCCACAGAGGCTGGGGACGTTCATCACGCAGCGCTTGTGGACGTTCATCATACAGGCTGTAAGGGCAGAGAGAGGGGGGCATGGCTCAGGCTGGTTCAGGGTGGCCCAAGGTGGCCCAGGTTAGGGGTTTCAGGCAACGGCTGTACCTGGGCCAACTGATACCTCCCTATTCCCCCCACCTTAGAGCCAGTAGCCCCTAGCAGAGAACAAACCATCTTGCCCAATGTCAAATCAAAAGAACTTCTCCCAATCTTTCTCACAACCCTGATGGATGAAAGAAATTGAACTTGGTCATCCTCCTTGAAGGTCAAGGTACAGTCTGCGGCAGGTGCCTCTGTACTTCTGTACCCCAGTGGCTCTGAAGCCCCAACTCGAATGCCCACTGTACCACTCCCGTGAGGGAAGATATGCAGGCGATCATGTGGAGGACACAACCACACCCACCCTGGTTGCCCCCATAGGAATGTTTACACCATGTCGCCAAGCTGCCCCGTGTTTAACATCAGCCGGAACCCAGACTTAAAGTGTGACATCTCCTAATTTAAAAAAAATTGACATGCAATAGTCCGAGTTCCTTGGAAAGGGGGCACAGCCGGGAGATGACTTATGGGAGGTGTTCTGCAAGGGGATGAGCTGATCCACCTTGTTGTAGAGGGCAGAGCTCAGTACAGGGCGATGGGTAATAGTCCTGCCCAGGGGTCCGGAGGACACAGTGCAGATTCGGACCCTAAGCCATCCGGATAGAAGCCTTTCCTATAGCATTTCCCCACGGGCAGACATGTTCTCACTGTCACTCCCAGGAGAGCAAGTACTTACTGTCACATTTCATCCCCTGGTGGATGAGTCCATACAGCAGCGATCCACAGTGGTCACAGAAGGTGGGGCTGGAGTACGTGTGGATCTTAAACTTGTGTTTGCTCCGGGGGTCCTAAGACCAAGAGAAACAGACAAAAGAGGCCACCGTCAGTGAGGAGAGCCGAGCACGAACCCTGCATCGAATGCCACTGGAGAACTCTTCAAGGACGGAACTGGGTCCTGCTGTCCCTGTGGGGACCATGGTTGGAGCACTGTGCGCAGACTAAGGACCAGACAAGTGGTGTCAGACGGATGAGTTCGTTGTAAGACAGACAATCAGTCAAACTCCATCCCCCCAAAGGCCTTCACAAACCCAGCCTGCATACCCCAGTATTCCACAGCCCCCCCTGCTCCTCTCTCCTCCCATCTCTTTATTCTCCGAACTAGCCTCTGGAGTGATCTAAGCCCAAGTCTAACCACAAAGCATTCCCACTTACAAGTCATTTGAAAGTTCCTCATCCCCTAGGGAACACACTTCAAAGTCCAGAGGAAAGTCCGCGAGCTGTGGCTGAGAGGGCTGGCCTTCCGCCCCTTCTGCTCACAGCAGAGCCCTTGAATTGTAGCAGAGGGCATGCTGTGCCATAGACACCGGGCTGCCACCTTCCCTTGTAGCTTGGTGTGGCCGTCAGACCAATGGGAAGCATAAACTTCTGCATCGTTGCATTAAAAGGAGCAGGGCTGTGTCCCCTGACTCTGTTTCCCCTCCACAGTGGCTGTAAGGTGAGGAGAGGTAGGTGATGACCTTGTACTCAAACTTGGAACCGGCCTGAGAAGAACAAGGTCAGCCTAACAGCCTTGGGGTTTGTCCTTTGGGGTTGATACTCAGAGAAAAATCTCATTTCTGTCTCGTTCAGGTCACCAAATCGGGAGGCCTGCATATCTATTAATATTTATTGATTACAGCAGCTAACAAGGTCCCTTAACTAACAGGCACGGCAGGACAACCTGGCAGTGTGGTGTTGAGGAGACAGGGCCGGACATCAAAGCATAACCCAGCCCTGTTCTTCTGTGATTTCACCTCTTTCTGCTTCAGCTTCCTTGTCCATAAAATGTATATAATGATAGTGTTCAGGCTATCATTACAGCACGAGACCGCTGGGGAGAATAAGTGGATTAACCCATGTGGAGAGCGGAGCACCTGGCCCACAGTAAACCGTGAACGTGAGCATCGCGCTCTCATTACCGCTCCTCCAGCGAAGGCATTCATACACACACAAGGTGCACGGTGTGTCCTCCGTGCTCAGGATCCATTCACACACACACACACATGACACCCTCCCTCCCTCTCTGCTCTGCCCGTTCTTCCTTTCTCACGAGCCCTCTTTGCAAGCCGAGAGCAAAGCTGTTTCATCCTGAAGTTAATTCCACTCCGGGGCTGACGGGACACCTAGCAGGGGCAGCCTGTTGTCCCTCTCTACCTCCAGCCGTTCATCTAGTCACGTGATTCACTGCTGCAGGGGCAGGTGCCTCCTTAGAATCTATATGCTACTCACAGACAGAATGTGAATAGGTAAGCAAATAAATATAAGAAGTACGCATTGTTTTCCAAGTGGAGAGTGGCTGGTCCACAGAGATGCTTCTAACTTAAAAACTAACCCATGCACCTATTCAAATCTGAAAAAGAAACTAAAATTGACAATATCAAGGTACCAGTGCTGGTGAGAACACACTGGACATTTTCCTACAGTTAGCAGGGTTGGGTGCGCTATGGGATGGGTTTGACGATTACCTTCAAAGCTGAGCACTCCCTCATCATAGATGACCTACCTCTGAGTCCCAGCTAAAATGAAAGCATATCTATAAAAAAAAAAAAAAAAACCTATGTGGCTGGGCAGTGGTGGTGCACGTCTTTAATTCCAGTATTTGGGAGGCAGAGGCAGGTGGATCTCTGTGAGTTTGAGTCCAGTCTGGTCTACAAAGCAATTTCTAGGACGGCCAAGGCTACACAGAGAAACCCTGTCTCAAAAAGCAAAAACAAAACAAGAGAGGAAAAAAAAAGAAAAGAAAACCCACATGTGAAGTTACACAGGCACTCTGTTCACAAGGGCTCAACACCCAGAAATGACCTCAAATGTCCCCCAGTGTGTGACCTGGGGAGGGATGACGCGCCTTTGCTCTCAGTCCCTTCTGGACTTTTTCATAGACTGACCTTGAAACAGTCAAGTTGTGGGTTTCAGTTGGGGTTTGACTTTGCTAAGCCTACCTTGTGTATAAAGCAAGGCTCCCCAGGGCTTCACAAGCTCTATTTTAGACTTTAAAGCAAATCTTGACGAACTAGGCTCACACACTATTCTGAGCGTAAGGGATGAGCCACTGACTACCAACATTTGTGACTCTCAGGAGCTATGTGAAGGAAGAGACAGCAGGCACAGAGGACTCCGTGCCACATAATCCTGTTTATATGATGTTCTAGAAAAAGCAAAACCAAGGAGACAAAACAGAGATCAGTGTTTATTAAGAGCCCAGTGCGGGAAGAGGGCTGGGCAGCATTTGGGAGCATAGTTTAGTGAGGGAAACTGTCTATACCAACTGGGTGGATTTTTATTATGTGTAATAGCATGATTCTGCAGCATGGAAAATGTGCCTTGGGGCTGGGGAGATGTCTCGGTGGGTGAAGCGCTTGCCACACAAGTCTGAGGACTGGAAATCATATGCCAGCACTCACAGAAGCCAGTGGATATGGCAGCCCCTCTATCATGCCAGCCCCCCTAAGGCAGCAACAGGGGATCGCTGAAGCAAGTGGCCAGCTCACCTAGGCAGCACTGGTGAGCTCTCTTCACTGGGAGGCTCCACCACGCCTCCATACATAGGTAGAGAGAGACAGAAAACGACACTGGACATCAGCCTCAGTGCACGCTCATGTGTGCCCCACACACATGCACACATCTGTGCATACATAAAAATGAATTTTAAAAGGTTCATTCAAAATTCTTCAGCCATGTAGGTTTCTGATCCCTGTATCTCCATAATGAGTTATAGATTATTTTGGGTGACATTACAACGCTTTGTCATTATTGGCCCTGATGGGAGTCCTGAATGGTTGAGTCTGAAAGACGGTGTCCACTCTGCTCTGAGCAGTGGAACCAGGAGAGCCCAGATCATGTTCAAGGACCCCAGCAGTCCCCTAACCCACTCAACATCTTAGATGTTACTCTAGTAACAAATGCAGGGCTGGGAACTCACCCTGTGAAAACTAACATCACAACTGGGGGCTTGTCTCCATTTCTGGGCCAAGAGACTATGTCGCACACTGAGTTCCCTCTCTACTGTAGAACACTTCCCAGTGTGCCCTCTTGAACATATCCCTCAAAAATGAAAAAGGAGTGCTTCAAACCCACCTAAAAGCAACCCCTATGCATGAGTAGTATCTGCCTGTGAGCTTCTCCCAAAAAACCGACACTACCTAACCTGAAAAGAGGGGGAAAGCTAAGCTGACAGGTGATTGGTCCTGTCCCAGTGGGCGGAGTATGTGCATAGGACTAACAGGCAAGCTGCGTCACAGCCCTCTCTCAGGAGGCTGCTGGGTCCAGACCCCACATCTGGCCCTAATAAAACTGGTGTGAGTGATTGAGATGAGCTGAACTCCAAAGCCAAGGACAAGTTATCTCCTTCCTCTTGGCCCTTGAGGTCCTTTCTGGGTTTTTCAATGTGTTGACCTCACAATGGTCAGGACTTAGGTTCCAGTTAGGGTTTGACTTTCCTTAGATCTTATGTATAACACAGGAGTCCCCACGGGCTTCCTCAGCTCTGTTTTAAGACAGGGGGTGAATCTCAACTAATCATGGATTGCTCCAGTGTGTGTGCCGGGGTGCATCTGTCTCTGGTCCCCAGGACATGCCACATGTAGGGTGCTCTTTGCTCCCATTTTAGCAATAAAAAGATGGACCCAGACTGAAGAGTAACTTCGTGTGAGCTAGTGCATGAGTGTGTGTGTGTGTGTGTGTGTGTGTGTGTGTGTGTGTGTGCGCGCGCGCGTGCACACATGCATAGGTGTGCACATACATGGGTGTGCTTCTGCAGACCAGTCGTCAATGTATCTTCCTCGGTCACTCTTCACATTCTACTCTGGGGCAGCGTATCTGTCCTGGTTAGCTTTTTGTCAATGATACAAACCAGAGTTAATCTGGAAAGAGGAACCTCAAATGAGAAAATATCCCCATCAGATTGCCTGGAGGCAGGTCTGTGGGGCATTTTCTTGATTCATGATTGATGTGGGGGGATTCCATTCACTTTGGGCAATGCCACCACTCCCAGGCAAGTGGTCCTGAGATGTATAAGAATGTAGGCTGAGCTGGTCATGGGAATCAGGCCAGCTAGCATCATCCCTTCATGGCCTCTGCTTCAGTTCTTGCCTCCAGGTTCCTGCCCTGACTCCCCTTGATGATGGACTCCAATCCCCAAAGTGAAATGCCCCCACCCCCCGCAAGTTACTTTTGATCATGGTCTTTCCTACAGTGATAGAAAGCAAACTAAGACAATCCCTCACTGAACCTGGAGCTTTCTGACTCGGCTAGATTGACTGTCTAAGGACCTTCCCATTCCTATCCCCCACCAGTGAGACTGTAGGCACACACTGCTGTGTCCAGCTTCTGCTGAGAATCAAACTTGGGTCCTCACCTATGAACAGGGAGCACTTTGCTGATTGGCCCACATCTCCAGCCCCATGGTAACTTCTAAGTCAGCCGGGTGATGGGTTCACAAGGCAAGGCTTTGCTTTCTTTCCTCAGAACCCAATTTTATTTCCTTACTACTTGAGCTTTCAGATAAAGCTAAAATAGTACTCTGTTCATTCATGTACCTGGCCAAGTTAGCAACAGACTAGGTTGTCCCTAGCCCTTCGGGAGTCAGCTGTGAGCAAAGACAGAATGCCCACTGTCACATAAGGTGACTTTTGTGAATGTGATTCCAAAGAGAAATTTTTTAAAAACCTGCCCTGCCCTCCCAAATATCCCCAACACAGTGTTTCGATCTCTGAAATGTAATTGCATGTTTAAATTGCATTTCACCCACGCTTAACTGCAAGCAACATAGGGGAATTGCTCACAATCCCTACCATATCCCCAAGGCATGTAT